GCTCATCCAAATAGTGAGCAGTGGTGGCAATTTAGTGGTCAAGTCGCTCATATCTAGTACAATAAAGAATGTAATGAAGAGCACATTCATAAGCAAAGGTGGACAAGGTGCTTTAACATTTCTAGCATCACTATAGAGAATCATTAATCACTAGCTTCTTGAAGAAAGATTAAGCGTAGGACATAATGACTAAGTAAACAAAGTTAATCTTGTTGCTATAGCAGATGTAAATATAGATGATAAGAATAATAATTTTATTCTTAATAATATTAAAAATATAAGCCAATATAGCTCTTGAGGTTATTTATTTCTTCAGGAGGTAGCCTTGACACAATATCGAGTATAACCACAACAATTGACTTTGGATCAGATGAAGACTATGAACACACTATCTAAAAAAAAATAATTTAACATTCCCTTTCATACTAGTGAAACATGATTGATCTATTTCAAGTGTCTAAGATCGTTTTAATCTATAGCAACATAAAACCTCATCACAAAATAAGACAAACTAGATGAAAACAAAATTGAATAAAACTAAACAAAATGGGACACAAAAGATAAAATTAAACAACCAAAATTAAAATAAAATAGAACAAAATATGAAGATACAAAATCCAATTGTATTAAGAAAAAAGATCCGAAGCCATACTTAACCAAATGCCCCTAAAAGGCCTTGACTAGTCTTATTTATATATTATTCTATCACCGTGGACTTTCTAGAATGTTCCTAGATGATGGATCCTACTTAAATAACCTCCTTAAATTCCTTCTTGAAGGTTCTATAGTAAGCCCCACCTAGATAATCACCTTAAGTCTTTTCTAAAATGTTCTATAGTAGATCTTACATGGTCCACTAACCTAACTCCAATTTTAGAAACTTCTATGGTTTTAACTATCTATCTCTATATACAAATATCTTATGTATACTCTCTTATATAGCTTGTTTTAGAAGCTACTAATATGTGTGGCATATGATTAACTATTGATCAAGTTTCTAACCTATTAATCAATTATAAATACATGTAAAGTCAAAACAATATTTGTAAAGCTTTTAAAAAGCTTTTCTAAAAGATATTATAAAATTAACCTATTTTTATTTATTCATATTATTTAGATAATAATTATAATAAATATATATTTGTGATATGCTATCTATAATAGTATAGCTCCCAATGCATAGTCAAAAGCATCAATCTCTAAATAAAAGGCCTTTGTGAAATTCGGATGCATTAAGATTGAAACTATAGTAAAAGTTGCCTTTAAATCTTAAAAATCTCTTTGGACTTAAGGTCTCCATTTTAGTTTGTCTCTAGATGTCAATCAAGTAAGAAGAACAATAATTTAGAAATAATTTTTAATAAATATCTAATAGAAATAAAAAAATCTAAGGAAATATTATATATTCCATATTTTCTTTGGACTTGCCCAGTTTGTTATATCTTGAACTTTCTACAAGTCCATCTATAGGTTTTTATTGGATATAATATATCCAAAAAATTCTACTTTTGGCTAATACAATATATATTTTTCTAATTTGGCATATAAACTTGCATCTTATAATTTTTACAAGACTAATCTGACATGTTCTTTGTATTCTTCAAGAGTCTTGAAGTATATTAAGATATCATCAAAATAGCAAAGAACAAACTATTTTAAGAATTTCAAAAAATATCATTCATCAAATGCTAGAATATAGCTAGAGCATTTATCAATCAAAAATACATTCCATTATATTCAAAATATTTATATCTTGTTCAAAATATTATCTTTTATTTATCTTTTTTTTTAATAATTTTTTTTGAATGATTGCACTCATAGATCTATTTATATATTATTTTTTTGACAAATTTCAAATTCACCATAATATAAGTATATGCCTTCTCTAAATTGATGCTTATTCTCTTTTGCTATAAGAAATTTGAATTATATTACATCAATTTGTATATCTTTAGCTCCGGAGTGTAGAAGTAATGTATTTATTGAAGCAACAAAGTACAAATTTCTACTACATTACTTTGTCAAAATTTACATCCATTAATCTTAGCAGCATTAAAATAATTAATTATTACACTTCATAACTTGGGTAATAGCTTTACTAAGTATTTGAAGATTACGTAATAATAATAATAATAATAATAATAAGTCTTTCACATTGTTTTTTAGTCTCTAATAGAATTGGTTTATAAGAGCTTATTCATTCCGATTGACGCCATAAGCCGATTGCTTAATATCAAATGCATAAATTGATGTAGAATGAGATCTTTAAGATAATGATTGAATCTTTTTGTCATCCATTGAGTCTTGTCATATTCACCAAATGCTCCCACAAATACTTTTAATTTTTTTTTAAAGTTACTCAAAATTAGAGATTTCTTTTCAAAAAAAAGAGCAAAACAAGCTAAGGGGTGTCTAGTAAGTAAGGTTGTAAGTAAACCAATTTGAGAGTCGTTTTTTGGATAGTACTCAATTTATCAAAAAGATACTAATTTAATTTTGTTAACAATCCTTGAAACTTGGAGACTGTGCCATCTAATGTTTCTAAAGAACTAATTTGAAGCTCCTTATATTGTTAAATAGGCCAATTTTCTTATTAAGATATAGGTGTCATTGCTTCCTTGGATATAGAAGCTTGAAAAAGTGATTGTATCAGAGATTGAATTACTCTAGGTCTTCCATCACTATAAAAACTTGTAAAAAATTCTTCAGTTTTTAGTAGTTCTACAAGATATAATATTCAAAATATTTAAAATAATATCTAACTTAGACTTGACAAACTTTATTATATTAATATCTTTACTTCCAATAATCTTCAAAGAAAAAAAACAAATTTCTAAACAATATCAGTTTAGAGGAGAATAATCCTCAATCTCTAAAGCACTCAAATGCCTTCAAAAAGAGAGATAATTCACTCTCTATTAAGAAGGATCAAACTATAATATTAATAAGATGGAAGACTTAATAAATTATCATAGATACACTATACAGAAGACCAAATAAGAAGTTGAATAGAAGAGTTTGAAGTAGAATGCTAACAAGAATTCAATTAAACCAAATGAATATAAGATCAACACCAAGAGTAATGAACTAGAGTTCTAAGAGATATACTATCAAAATTGAGGATTCCTTCAGCCTAAATTCCAATATATACTAGATATTAGGAAGCTTCTTGAAAAGTTTTCATATTACTTGGAAACAAAGCAACCCTAGAAAGCTTCCTAAGAAGTTTCCATGTTGCTTAAAAATAAATCAATCTTTAAAATCTTCTTAGACAATTTTTTTAATCCTCCTAAAACTTTCTAGAATTTTCTGAAATATTTCAATATGTGCAACATGTGGCAAACTTATTAGCCAAATTTTCAACCTATCAATTACTTATTAATATTTGAAAAACCAAATTTTCATCTATGAAGCTTTTACAAAGCTTTTTCAAAAAATATTATCAAATTTTCTTGCTTCTACTTACTTCTATCTAATTTCTCTAATCTAGGTAATTACTAATATAAATATGTATATTTGTGATAATATTAAATATAAAAGAATGGTTATTATAAAAATCTTTAAATTAAATTATATATATTTATATATAAATTAAATAAAATTTTTAATTTTTAAAAATATATTTTTAAAATTTTATATTCAATGGTGTAGAGATTTGTTTTATTTGTATAAAATTTACATCTATAAATCTTTTTATTGTAAGTAAAAAAAATATCTTATTTAATTATTTATAAACTTATATAATAACTATTGAAATAATAAAGTTAAAAAGAAATTTGATCATTTCAAAAAAATTATTTATTTAATTTTTTTAATATTATATATAATTTTTTATTTTAAGTTTTTATTTAATTTTTGTGATAATAATGGAATTTATTTGTGATTTTTAGTTTTATTACATGTATTATAACTAATTATTATATCCTATAATATTCTATAGTAATTGTGTAATTTAACAAATCACTTTCAAAGAAAACAATAAATTCTATTTAAAAAAATAAATCCATAAATACTTATTTTATAAAACTTCTTTACTTAAATTAAAAATTATTATTTAATATTAATTTATAAAAAATAATTTTAATTAATTTACTTAGTATATAATTATCAAATTTTAAATTATTATTTACTTTATTTAAGACACATAATTTTTAAGAAGTTATCAAGAAGCTTCCTAAGGTTGCTTCATCTTCAAGCAATATGGAAACTTTTTAAGAAGCTTCCTAAGGTTGCTTAATCCTCAAGCAACATGAGAACTTCTCAAAAAGCTTCCTAAGATTGCTTCATCTTAAAGCAACATGAGAACTTCTCAAAAAGCTTCCTAATATCTAGTATATATTAGAGTTGAGACTATAGAAATCCTCAATCTTGATAATATATCTTTCGGAATTTTAGTTCACTTTTCTTGGTATTGATCTTGTACTCATGTAGTTTAATCAATTTCTTGTTACCTTTTTGTTGAAACTTTTATTTTCAACTTCTTGTTTGGTCTCCCATTTAGTATATTTGTCATAAGAACAAGCAAAGAAACTACAACTTTTAAATCCTATTATTAGTTGAAATGAGGAAGTCTAAATATTTGAGCTAGTGAAAGGATTTAAAATTTATAACCTCTCACCTTATCCCCTAAGTATAAAACCCCCTTAGGATACACCTTCAAAGTATAAATAGACAATAATTAGCATAATATTTCTCTACAAACCTTGTTTTTGAATTATAAATTTTTTTGAGTAGGATAATGTTAAAATATCAAAATACATAAATCAAATACCGTTCTTATTATTTTTAGGATGTTTTAATTTTTTTAATACTAAAAATCATGTACCAACCTAGTTGCTGAGTACTTAAAAGCTTGTAGATACAAAGCGGCTAAAACTGTACGGGCTGCCAACAAGGGTAACAGATTTCTCTCAGAACTGTCGTGGCGGCAGGGGACAGTTCTACGCAGAACAGTCGTCGTCCTCCGCCCATGGATGAATCCTGGTGAAAGGATGCCTGCTGTGCCCTTGTTGTGGTGGTGGTGTGGAGACCATGGATGTGGGGATTCTGGGGGCAACGAAGTTTGCTTTTGCTCGTGGGGGAAATAAATCGCCTAGTGGATGGATTGTGCGATTGATCGCTTGAATTGCGAGCATTCGGAGCTGTTGCTGCCCCTTTGAGGAGAATTGTGGTGCAATCGTGTGTGGCGTCCGAGGTGGGTTCATCGTGTTTGATTTGGGTCTAGGTGGAGTTTACTGAAGTGTTGATGCACGGTTTGTGTGTTTTTTGAGCATTTTTTTTTGTCGTCGCAGGGTTATTTGTAGTATGTTGGGTGTGTTCCGGTTTCTTTGTGTTCCTTGTTGAAGTGTTTGCGAGGGAGTTCCAAATTCTGTTCATCTTATTGGTTGTTGCGATAGCGTGGTGGTTCCGTGAAAACTTTTATGCATGGGTAGCTTTGTTTCACTCAACGGCGATGTCTTTCTTGTGATCGGTTTGCAGTAATGGTGAAAACCATGAGCTGCCCCTGTGTTCTTGGTCTCGTTTTTGAGGGATATTGCATTGAAAGGCTATTGCTTCAAAACCTAGATTTCAGGATAGTTTTTCTTGATCATCTATTGAGGTGAATCCTTGTGTTCAATTTTTAATGGCAATCGGTTTATGCGATTTGAAACAGTTACGCAACGTTTTTTTTCTTGTTTTATCAGTGACAAACTCAGTATTATTTTATTTTATTTTATTTTTCTTCAAATGATTAAATTTTTTGTTTGCAGAATTTTCTACGCCATACTTCTGCTTACGAAAACATGCTGTAGTGGCTCCCAATTTTGGAACTTGAAGATCGCTAAACGTGAATTAGAGGCCTTGACGTGAGCTTTACAAATATCAAGAAATGTGGATGTATTTGAAGCTCACAGGCACCTTCCGATATACTAGAAACGCATGTGCTACAGGGGACAGTTAGCACCATATTTGCCATCCCAGGAGAAGGTGCAGTGGCTAACGCAGCCGCCATAACACATTGCGAAGCGTGCTCCTAGTTAATATGAAGAAAGTTTGTGAAGAGTGCCGCAGAAACTGCTTGAGGCTGCATGGGGCGGAAGAGGATGATGTGCATCCTAATCTATTATGTACCCCAGGAGGGTCCGAAGCAGACAAAAATGTCCAAACTGATCGCCATCCATCATTCCTGAAGACTATGACAGAGAGTACTATAGACACCTTGAAGTTACCAAGGTCTTTCTTATTGGATAATTCGGGAAGACTTAGTGACAGTGTCATCCTGGAGGGACCTTGCAGGGAGCAATGGAGAGTAGAGTTGCATGGTTATGGTCAAAGCTTCAACGTCAGCTTTGGACAAGGTTGGAGTAAGTTTGTGGTGGATCATGTACTACAAGTTGGAGATCACCTCGTTTTTTTCCTCTTACAAAAGTCTTATTTCCAAGTGGAGGTATGTAATTTCCTCTGAACAGCGAAGTACGTAGTTTTAGGATTCTGTTCAATCTACAGGTTTGAAATATATCATCTCGGCCGTTGTGTTGTTTTGAGGCTATTTCATATGATTTATCTCCTTCCTGCATTTTTGCATCTTATTTTTAATTTTGTTCCTAATATGTGCCAGCTTCTTGATTTCTTCTATCATCCAGGTATATGATGGATTTGGTGTTCAGAAAAGGAGTGCCCTTGATGCCGTAAATACTCCCTTGAAAACAAATACCAAGAACGTCGACGTTGTCCAACAAAGCCTTGACCTAGACCATGGAGTGGTTCAGACCGAGCAGAAGAAGCCTGAGAGTGCCACTCAGCCTGAGAATGCCGCACAGCCTCTTATCGATTTGATACAGTCGAGTGAGTCAGAGTCAATGTTAATGAGTGCGCGGAAAATTGACATGATAATAGCTGAGGCATTAAGATCTGAAGACTCAGGGCATCCAATAATGAAGTCGCCGGAAGTTGAGAAGCGAAAGGTCTTGCCCCCACATGTGTTGGTCAATGGAACTGTCACATCCAAACGGCGCCCCGTAACAGAGTTGGAGAAAGCAAGGGCTCTTCAGGCAGCGAGTTCTCTCGAACTTGTTAAACCCAACGTTTTGGTGGTGATGACCAAAAGTCATGTATATAGAGGTTTTCTTCTCGTGAGTTCTTCAATCCTCTTTGCGAATCTGTTGAACTTGTCGCTACTTGTTCATGTCCATGTTATGTTGTATTATTATGTTGTTTGTTTACGTTATACATTAATGTGGCATTCAATCTATGATAGGTTTTTTGTTCTCTTATATAAGCATTTGCAGTGATCAAGGTAAGTATTTGTGTTGCGCACTGTTCTGTTTATGAGCCAACTGCATTAGCATTTTTAACGCGGCGAGCACAATTTGATCAATGCAGAGTATCCCTAAGCGGTTTTCGAAGGATTGGCTGCCTTCAGAAACCAAGGAGGTTACCCTCACCAATAAGAGCGGACACACATGGCCTGCAAAATGGCTTGCCTCGCAAGGAGGTTTAAGTGCGGGATGGAGACGGTTTTCTCTTGACCATCGTCTAGAAGAGCATGACGTGTGTGTGTTGGAATTGGTTGACAAGGCGAACCTTGTGCTGCTTGTTCATATTTTCCGAGTATTAGGCAGTCCAGAAGAAGATGAAGGACTCTACTTCCCTACTAACTCAGCCGTAAAAGCCTTTGATGGTAAACGGAACATCAGTAACTCCCCCCAAGTCCACGACGACCACAAAGGTGTTTCTCCTTACGGAAATGGCTCAGAAAGTGATAAAAAGGGCTCTGAACATTCCTCGCGCGGCTCTGATGGCCTAAATGATAAAAGCACCTCGGAACCAGATAAGATGACGAATAGCCTAAAGCGCAAAATCTGTGTTCTTGGATTAGAAGCCTTACCTGACAAGACGAAAGCGTTGGGCGATCAAAGTCATCGGGAAACAGGCACCGCTGCCATTCATGATGTCCAGGCAGCTGAACCTGACTTGGGCGTGAGAACTAGAGATCCATGTGGTGCAGAGCTCCGTCCAACTGCTGCACGGCAGGACTTGGTAGACTTTCGATCCACACTTATGAAATTGACTAAGGATTTGTTGGTAAAGAATGGTGTAGGAAGTATCGTCCCTGCTAAAGGTGTCCTTCCTGGGAATCCTGCTGCAAATGCTGATGATGTACATGAGCAGCTCACAAATTTTGTAGATTTTCCAACAACTAAGAGGCAGCACACTTTACCGAGCGTTAGTCAAGAAGGGGACGGAAAAGACCAGAGTGGCGAGGATAATGCGAACCTAGCAGATGCTCCAATTCCTGAGCAGCATACTCCGAGTGTTCGTCATGAAAGACCGAGGAAAGAACTAGGCCAAGAGTATAAAGTTGTACACATCTACAAAGGACGAAGTGTAGGGACTAGTACCGAGTTCCTTGCAGAACTGGAGGGATATTCAGAGAGCATTGTTTCTAAACTGCCCAGGGATGACGATACAGGGTTCTTGTGGGTTCCAAGTAATCAGTTTTCATGGGATATGCAAACTTGCTGCATCGAGTGATAGGACAGCGAATCCGTCTTTTCGTGAACGTGGTTAAATATATCACACTAGATGGAACGAATCTCTACCCATCTATTGCGGGTTTCCTACGTGCTGCATTTTTGAAGTGTGAGCAATTCTTCGAATCTGCCGCTGCATGCCCCAGGTTCGGATTTTCACAGCAAATATAGACATCTGGGAGCTATGTCGATGACCCAATTGAAACTACAGCATTACAAGAAACTGGATTAACAGGATCATGAACTAAGAGAAACGAAATGAAGGGCTCTTGTGTCTTACCACCTTCATTCCATCTGCAACGTCAATGCCCTCCTGTGCGTCAGAAATGGGTCCATAGCACTAAACATCGGTGATCGCTCCAAGTCACTGTTAACTGATGTTTACCGTTGCGTCCATTTCAGTTCTTCTCCGCCATTTGGAATGACACAAGCTAGATTTCTAATGCGACTACTGAGATCACAATCTACTCTGTGCAACTGTGTATGTGTACTTTTAGTTTTTGTTCACTGTTTTTGTTCACTGTTTTTGTTCACTGTTTTTGTTCCGTGTCAAAACCAAATTGTGTTAATCTGCACTGAAATCAAACACAAATTGGTAAAAATTGAACATTGTACGAATCAGTTGCTTACAACTCCAATTAATGTTCATGGCATTCATTTCTTGATAAAAAAATATGGAGTAAAGTTCATTGGCTCGGTGGATTGTTGTTAATTATCAGAGGAGAATCGTATGGAAGAAATGTGCTGAGAAAGCCCACTCAGAACAATGCTTAAACAATGAATTACAGAGATGTTGATGTCTCCAAGTGAAAATGATTTCCTTCAATTGCAATGCACATTTGTCTTCATCATTGTCTACTTTATGTATAGTAGATCTGTTTTTTATTGATACTATTTAAAGACAATTTAAAAGGCGATTTTAGATGGAGATCCATAACTTTCAGACTAGTTCTTTACACCCTCATTTAAAATTTTCCGACAATTATGCTCCATTATCATTATATTTTCCTAGCACTATATTCTCTCCAATAGAATCTACATGTTAGTACTCATAATTAGTTTTCCTTTACTCCTAACAATTTTTAAAAGTTATTACCACCAATTAGATAACACTCAATGGACAAAATTTAGTATACGGTTTAGGATATGGTTTCTTAGATATTATAGTGTTTATAATTTGACAAAATTAACTACATATAAATTTTCTATGAAAAGATTTTTGACATTTACGTTTATTAAAAAAATTGGAAGTTGCAGTCACGTAAATGTGGTATATTGCATGGATTTTCTCTAATCTTCAAATAAAAAATATATATATTTAGAATATATTACCCACATGTCAATAGAGATGGATGTTTAGTAGATAAATCAGATTTACTAGGTAGCTCAATGATGGGCAACCAATTGGATTGTTCTAAAACACTCGCAATAGGAATTCAAGATTAAAAATTAAAGATAAAAAATTTCAAGTAAAAGTGAACAAACAATTTTGGACAGTTAGGCAAAACTGAAAATTAAGAATTCATTAAAATATTTTGGTACACAAAGGCCTTTTCGATTTTCTGTTCATCCAGTACCAGGTTCTTGCTGGGTACCAATTCCTCTACGGCCCAAAATGGGCCAAAATGGCCCAAAATACCCTCTTAAGCAAGGCGTAAAACTGGATAAGGAGCCATCATCAGGAAAAGACATAAGCCCGGTCGGTTTCACAGAAAGACAGACGCGACTTCTTGAACTGTCTACAGTACCACCTAGATGGGCAGCCCAGCCATTTCACAAGCAATTGTAAGCACTAGGATCAAATTCCACAAATCTACACTGGACTGTAGGTGCAGAACCACTGTTATCAGGACATGGTGATGCATACCTCTGGAACTCTTGATGATCCAAGCCGCCAACTATCCAGCACCTAAATGAAGTGCTCCAAATATTCAATAAACTACATTTCAAATACGTGCAAACTCAGTTATGCACCTTTAATCTTTTGGATAAACCATCGAAATTTCCGCGTATAAAACAGAAGTATGCAATAAACTGAGGACACTCATTAACTGCCGTTACACAAGTAAAAGGTGACATACGAAGCAAAGCGATTTCCCTCCATGTTAATTCATAACAAAGAGATTTCATATTACAAAATATTCAGCCATACACTACTTCTTTGACTTCTTTACTGAAGCAACACTCGATGGAGCCTCAACAGCCTCAGCAGGAGCTGCGTCAGAGATACCCTGGGCTTGACGCTCCTCCCTCCTTGCAATCTTGCGCTCACGTGAAGCCTTGTTCTTGGCACGCCTAGCCTCGAATTGATCAGAGAGAGTCTTCTCACGAGCCTTCTCGGCCTTGGACTTGTGAATACTCTCCATCAACACACGCTTGTTCTTAAAGACATTACCCTTAACCTTCATGTACATATCATGATACATGTGCTTGTCGATCTTCTTGGCATCACGGTACTTGCGCAAAAGACGCCTCAACACACGCATACGCCGCAACCACAGCACCTACAAAACGGCCAGCCCGCTTGTCATCCGTCAATACTAACATCACAGAAGATTTTTAACATGTGATTTTCTAAGAATGCAGAAAATTTTCTAAAAAGATTTTTAACACGTGATTTTCATGGACTTCATCCAGAAAATTTAAGGGTGCAGCTCAAAGTTCAAAAAAGGAAACGCAGGCCGGCTAATTAGAATTTTTTTCAGCAAAGAATTTGATGAAAGAACCAATACCATGTACCTCGATAATAATAAATTGGGTGCGTCTGCCTACACCCCATTCTAAACCTCACCATTAACAAGAGCAGTCCCATAGTAACTCTTGAATTCACTAATCCGTTCTGTTAACATAGGGAGCCGGAAAAGTACAGTTCGACGTAACCAAGCAACAACTAAAAGAAAATCTCAAATGGAAATCTGATTACCCTCAACCCGCTCGACTTTCAAGCAAATGAATCATCAAAAGATATAAAAATCTAAGGTATCATCAAGCATATTACAAAACCCTAGCTAAATCCAAATTGTGTAATGACCAGAAACAAGGCGGGGTTAGCCTCAGTAATGGATTGTAGCGTCACAATACGGAAAAAAAAATAATGACTTTAAACCCTTGAAGCCCAAATGACGTCTTCAAAAAAAGACAGCAAGAGCTGATCGATACGTTGAAATACTAATTGAGACCCGCAAAACCATACCTAAAACAGCATACTCCTAAGTAGAACAACAGGGGGAAAATAAAAAATAAAGAGGGAAGAAGAAGAAGAAGAAGAAATAATAGAAATAAAAGAAAAAATACAAAAACTTAAATTCATCACTAAGGTATGAAGTCAGACGCGAAAGGCACCTTGGTAGGAAGCCTGGCCTCCCTGGTACCGCGACGTTTTCCGTAGCCAGAGTGACGTCCCTTCCGCTTAGCCTCGAGAGCACGACGAGCACGGGCACGAGAGTGTATCTTCTGGGGCTTGCGGATAACGAAGCCATCCTTGACCAGCTTGCGGATGTTCTGCCTGCTGTTAGCCATGGAAATCTCGTTGACTTCGTTGGGGTCGAGCCATACCTTGCGCTCGCCGCACTTGAGCACGCTGGCAGCGAGGCGCTTCTGCAGCTTGATGGACACCATAGCTGCTGCAGCTGGTGCTGGAGCAGCGAGGAGGAGAAGCAAGCTTGGGGGCTATGGTGGACGGTAAAGGGCAAACCCTACAAACTTAACTCCAAAGAGCGAGAGGGGGAGCCTGGAGGCCCCCGCAGCTCCTCTTGAGGGAAAGGGAAGGAAAGGGGAATGGAAAGGGAAGGAAAGGGGAATGGAAAGGGAGGCTCTCTCCCCAATCACGGGTCTCCTCTTCCTCCTCGCCCCGGTTTGCCCCCACCCGACCCGTCCCTCCTCCGCCACCTCCATGCTCGTTCCACAACCAACCTCCTGTCATCTTTTCCATAACATATCTGTCATAATTAATCAACATACTTAGATTAATTTTTAAGATGATTAGATTTTATTTTTATTTTTGATAATATTAGAATGTATATTTCTACATACTAGATTTTCAAGCAATGAAAACCAACCACATTCATCATGATTATCATATTCTTTATTGTGATTATAATTATGGCTCCCTTCCATTTCTCTTGCCTTCTATGGAAGGAACCCTAATTTTTTGTTTAAAAAGAAGTAAGAGATACATTTCAAAAAAATCTCCTTTCCATACCCTCCATTTTCCTCTTATTATCTATCATATTTTGCTTATTATCAATTCCTTGTACTTATAGACATTTGTCAAGGACATGAATCTTAAAGAAAGAGAATCCTCGATACACTCTTGTATCACTCAAGAGAACTAGAAAGTCACTCAAAAGGTAATGTAATATTAACTAGAATGGCTATTTCCAAAAATAAGAAGATTAGAAAGTCTTGAAACAAAACTTAGAATTAGAACGGTGTTGACAAGAATGAAGAAGGCTTCACTCTTGTCTCCATATATACTCTTAACTAGGAGCTACGTGATAATGTCCTATGGGACCTCCAAAACATGTTGACTTTGCTAGCCACATGACTTAATTTACAAGGCAAGTTATCCATATATACGCCACATGGTTAGCTTATTATACAAGCTACTATATTGAGTTAACTTGTTCTTCTTCAATCAAGTTTTTGTTCTTGATACCTTTCAAATAATCGATTGTCGCATGCAATGGCTTGAGCAATAAATTATTCCAAAATTTTTGCTTTTGGCATTGTTAATAAGAAATCTTTCACTTTATCCTTTAATTCATATCAAAATTGATTGATGAGTGTTTTGTCATTTCAATTCACATTGCAAGCAAGGTTTTAGAATTCAGCAGAATATGTAGTGTTTGATCGTGTTCTTTGTCGTAAAGATAAGAGTTTGGTCTCTGCTACTTGTTTTCAATCAGTTTCTTTGAATGTGGCCGTGAATATTTCTAGGAATGAATTCAAATCATAAATGAATTACAATCTTTTTCTATTAAAGGTGCAAACCAAGAGAGAGCACTTCTTCATAGAAGTGCACCTATGAATCCAACTTGAGTAAATCCATTAGGATATTAGAAAGAGTTCAATCTTAGATAGAGCTTGACTTGTTGCAAAAATCCTTAAAATTTTGATCTTGTTCCATCAAACTTCTTAAGCATACTAATTGTTATGTCTGTTATATTAAAATAAGCAAAATTCCTTAAATTTGGTTATAAAGTCGATCTACTTGCTTCCTTCAATTGCATAATTTCTTGCCAAAAACTTTGAACTTCTTCCATAGGTATAGGCATAGTACCTCCATGATTCACGTTAGAAATACATAAGATTTATACTCTAAGAGTGTTGGTAAACTCATGAAGATCTACAATAGTTGCAAATCTATTCTCACTTTTGCTAGGTGTAGCATCCATAATCTTTCTTTCCATATGCAATTCAAACAAATCTAAAAAATTAAATTAGACGAGGATAATCCACAACCTCTAATAAAAATTTCCACAAAGAAAGATAATCCACTCTCTTTAAAGAAAGATCAGTATTAGAAAACAAGATTTTTTTATTTAAAAGGTGGATAGTCCGTAACCTTCAAAATGTAATAATAAAAGTGAAATAATCCACTTACTTCTAAAACAAGATAAGAATAGTATATTAGCACTCTTGTCAAATTATCAAGGATATAAATCTCAAAGAAAGAAAATCCTCGATACACTCTTGTATCTTTAAAGAGAACTAGAAAGTCATCCAAAAGATAATGTAATATTAACTAGAATAGCTATTGTCAAAAACAAAAAGACTAAAAATTCTTAAAATAAGACTTAGAATTAGAATGGTGTTGACAAGAATGAAGAAGGATTCACTCTTGTCTTTATATATATTCTTAGCTAGAAGCTACGTGGCAATGTCCTATAAGACCTCCAAAATATGTTGACTTTGTTAGCGACATGACTTAACTTGTAAGACAAGTTATCCATGTATGTGCCACATAGTTAACTTATTCTACAAACTATTATATGGAGTTAACTTATTCTATAAGCTATCAATACGTGATTAACTTGTTGGCTAAGTTTCCAACCAACAAACACATCTAAAATCAAAATTTTATCTATGAAGCTTCTAAGAAGCTTTACTAAAAGACTTTATAAAATTAATCTATATTTATCTATTTCTACCTAATCATATAAGTAATTATTGATATAAATTTATATATCTATAACAACATTCCTTAAATAAGTACAAAAGAGTTGTGTAGATGCATTTTGAGGGTTGTGTGGCAAGCCAAACAAATGCTTGATGTCATGAGATAAGTGATGGCAAGAACTTGTAGGAATGAAGGTGTATGGCATTATAATACATAATTTATTTGTGAAAAAAGAGACCCTGAGTAAAAAATAAAAATGAATTATTATACAAGATGTAGATGTATTTGCTAGGCATCATGAGAAGATTTGTATGTCCAAATAGGTAGTTATAGTCTTATAGTTTGATATTTTTATATTTTACTTGTTATTTTTTTTTTTACTTATTGTAATATTATTTGAAGGTATCAAAGACATGAATCTCAAAGAAAAAAATTATCAATACACTCTTATGTCATTCAAAAAAGACTAAAAAATTACTTAAAGATGGTAATATATTAAATTGGAATGATTATTTCCGAAGACAAGAAGACTAAAAAGCCTTGAAATAAGACTAAGGATTAGAAAGACATTGACAAGAATAAAAAAAGCTTCACTCTTACTTCCTTATATACTTCTAATTAGGAGCTATATGGTGAGGTTCTATAAGACTTCTAATACATATTGACTTTATTAGACACATGTCTTAACTTGCAAGACAAGTTTTCTATATGTGCCCCATATAATTAGCTTGTTCTACAAGCTATCAATATATATGGTATGTGGTTAAAGCATTGATCAGGTTTCTAACCTATCAATCAATTAGAAATACATATAGAGTCAAAATCATGTCTAAAAAGCCTCTCTAAAAAATATCATGAAATAAATCTATATTTACCTACTTCTATTTAATCATGTATGTAATTATAAAAATAAATATTTATGACTATGATAGAAGGTCAAATAATAATTCTTTCTTTAAAATGTTTTAGAGGCAGATATATTTTAGATGAATTGTTGTCAAATAGTAACATAGATGTTGTATAATAATAGGGCTATTAGGTAAAAGAAAAAAATAACTATATTATAGAAGAGCTTAATAAAAATATTGTGACTAATTATCTTGAGAATATAAATAATGGTCAAGTAGGTAATAAAATTAATAAGTGCTAATATTGTCTTATTATAAAAAAAACTTCTATTTACTTTATAAGGTCATAAACAAGATAAGATAAAGTAGAATAGAAAAATTAATATTATAGACATCTTAAAGTAGAAATAAATAATAATTTTAAAAAAATATTAATTAAAAATATTATATATTCATACTTAGAGAAGACTGGTTATCAATATGGATAAAAAAAAGAAATCTTGAAATTAGATCCAAAAGCATAAAATCTTGCTCTTATTGCAAATCCTATATTATTTTGTTAATTTAAGAAGAAGATTAAGAATAAATTAAAGAAAGATTTTTTAGAAGTTGATTTTTAGTGATTTAAATTTTTATTAACTTTATAAAAACTTTACAAAGTCAAAGTTGTATTGTGATGACTTTGATTTTTGAGAAATAAAAAAACTTATACTTTAGAAGATTTTATAAAATTTGTAATAAATATATAAATGATATTTTTTGGTTTTTTGATTATAATTATGTTAAATATATATATTTTTAGTTTAAACTTCATCAAATGATTCTTATTAAGCTTATTGATACTCAAGTAGATTAAGATCCGAAAATTTGAAGTTTGAAAGATCAGCATGGATTTCTAAGATTTGCAGCAATCCATGATTGAACTGAGATAAAATATGGCAAACTAGTCAAAAACTTGATTTTTAACTATTATTTAAAATTTTAAAATAATTAGATAGTGAAATTGAAGAATATTGGTACTAAAAGATTAGCATTAAGATTAAAAAAGAAAGCCGGATGACACCTAAGAAAATTATGAAGTTTATTTTTAAATTAGTAAGCTCAATTTTTTAAAACTTTGTATGCTTGATTTTTGCTTGAAGATTGAAATGTGCAATTTGTTTTTTGAAAATTAAAGATTTGATTAATAATAATTAAAATTTTAAGATGACTATAAGAATTTGGTTAAAATTTGGTTAGGATTTATTTATGGTTTGTTTGAAATTTTATTAGGATTTAATAAAAATATATTTAAGATTTTATAAGGTTTGATTAAAATCTTCTTAAAGTTTATTTAAGATAAGATTTTTTAAAGATTTTATTATAATTTTCTTAAAATATAATTAATATTAGGTTAGATTTTTAAAAAAAATTATTAAATTTTGATTTAGGATTTAAATTTTTTCAAAGATTTTTTAAAGATTTTTTTAAGATTTTTAATTTTATTAAAATTTGATTATGAGTTGATTAAAATTGGATTAAAAATTGGTTGGAATTTTATTGGAATTTTATTAGGATTTGATTGAAATGTATTTCAGATTTTTTAAGATTTATTTGGAATTGATTAGAGTGTGACAAGATATATCTTAGATTTTCTAAGATTAATTGGATGTATTTAGGATAATTACAAGCTTACTTAGGTTGTTCAAGATTACCAAAAGGTGTTTGTAAAAACCTCATGTATTCTTTTGGATTATAAATCAAACCTCAAAGTAAGTTCAATTCCTTCAACAATCAAATATCCAAAGTATTCCAAAGTTAGTTTTTACATAACA